ACAGTTYTGCTCCTCAGCAGCAGTCAAGAGGYTGGATCCAGASGTCCCTTGTGTCACAGTAATCTGATGCACTGAAGGAAAYKGAGCCACTTCYAAGTTCCTCTTTTCAGTCAATTGGCAAATTTGTTTAAGCAGCCTGTACTAAAGAGGCAGAGCAATCCTCACCCTAAAACAGAGGCCAGTGGAACCAGGGATCCTCCCGTGGAYTCCATGGCCTTTGGATGCAGCCCCAACACAGGGAAATGAGGACAGTGGAAGGGATTATATCTTCATTAGAATGATCTCATGGACACTCAGGCAAAGCTTCATGGTTCACCAGGAACAGTATCAARCTAAGTCCATCTAATAATTCCTGAGCAGTTGTATCTTTAAAATAATTTGACAATCAATGAGACATCACAGGCTGCATGACAGGCAAATGGGAATCTAATAACTTTCTCTAAGTTCTGTATTACTGCCACTTGAAACACTTTAAAATGGAAAATCTCACTGCAATTACAATATTCTCTCATCAGTATATTCTTTTACATTCAAACTGTGTGCTCCTGAAGAAAGTTTCTTTATTATTTCTTTATTAAGAAATAAATGCTGTTTAAGGAACCATACCACGCTGTTAGAACAATGAATTTGTTTTTTTACACAGCTCATGGAGACCCATGAAAACTGACACAAARCCTGTCTCTGGCTGTCCCCACAAGCACCAGAACATGAAGCCCTCACTTTTGGGGTCGTCATGCAAGGAAGGAGTCCTGCAGCAACCAGCCTTGAGCAGCAAAGGGGAAAACCACTGTGGATAGAACTCATTGTCTCCTGCTGTGATACAGGGATGGAAACTGATACAGGACTGAAAAGAGCAGCACTTGGACTGAAATTCAGCTTTGAAAGGAAACCAGGTGCCTTCCATGTTGGCTTTAGAGAGTGTGCATTAATTTGTGAATTGATATTTGCACAGAGGAATGAAAACAAATGCAGATGAGGAGTGAATAAAACCAGCTGAAGGGATATGCTGGGCACATGCCTTTCATGCAGAGATCAAACCTGTTATGTATGTGATSATATATTCAGGTATTTAACATAAAACCTTTGCAAAGGTGTCCCATGGTAAAGCTTTGGCAATTTCCCTCACAATATTTTCATTCTGAATATCTCTGTCTGGATTCAAGCTCATCTCTAGAGCAGAACTGCTAGACAGAGGACAAATGGATTYTCCCACAAGTATCTGGAGAATGTAATATTCCTGCACAGAAAACCATTCCACAATTCCTTTTCAAATGCCATGCAGGGAATCCACATTCTGCCACTCTCCAGTTAGTGMACATTCCCATTGCTCTTATGGTCAGGAAGTTTCTTAGAAAACCTGGTAAAAATTGGTCATATATTGATTTAGTCTCTAATAAAGACTGCTGATATACGTCAAATAAAAGTGGACATTTGGAAAACACCAAGCTTACCCAACAGGAAGTGAAAAATAATCAAATATCCAACTCTGAAGTGGGGAGATGTTCAAGCTCTGGGGTTAAAAATAAAAACCTACCAAAACAGAGCAGAAATGCACCAACCTTTSTTCAGCCTTTTCCATGTAGCCCTCAGCTATGACACATTCCCTGTGGATCATATTAACTTAAGAGTCAGCCCAAAGTTATTTTTATGCCCRCAAAAATATACCCCTAAACTGATAAAGCTTTGGATGAGCAATATCTCAGTAACACTTTGCAATCAATTAAACAGCCCTTGCCCTGCCCCATCCCTGCAGGTCCAGCAGACAGCTCCTCTGCCACCAGCACAGCTCATGGAAAGCAGCAGCTGTGACAAATGAGCTGCAGTTTCCTGGGCTGTGCTTTGCAGCAGATGTATTTACACATTTCACAATCCACGGGCAGGGATGGCGTGCCAAATGTTGGAGGAAATGTTATCAAACAGAAGTCTCCCAGCAAATCCCCATCTTGCTGACTGTTAACATCAGCCTGCCATGTGTCATTTTTCATGTTATGGCACATCCTCAATCGAGTTTTTCTTCAAGCTACTGTTGTTGTTTTAATTATCCCTCCCTTACTCACCAATATGTGAAAAGTAYATATTTTACAGGAACAAAGAATTTGTAGAATGCCTGTCTAGAGACTTGTGCCACTAAAATTTTTAAACTACTTTGTAAGCTTATTTAAAAATAAAATTAAAAAAAAAAAAAACCACGTCGAAAACTGATCCCACTTTTTTTTCCTGAAAAATCTGATCCCATTTTCTGTCCCAGCACCCTCTGAACAGCAAAACCCAACCACACAGACACAACCCCACTGAGCAGAGCTGACACAGACCTCACATCCCAAGGGATGTGTCAGCCTCAGGGCACTTCACACACACAGAAACCACAAGCATTAATCTGGTGGTGCTAAATAATCRTGTTGTTTCTTCATATGGTAATGTCTGTTCACACCTCCAAAATCTCTCCTCTTCCTTCAGCAGCATCTTGAATGCAAATGCCTCACAGACAGTGCTTTCAGCAGGGGTTTGTGAGGTTTATAACTGCCCAGGCTATGAGCAGTTAGTTTCTTTACATGTCTTTAAGGAGAGCTGAGCAATTAGAGGAATTTTTAAAAAAGAAAAAAAAAAATAAACCACAGTCCACAATTGTAACTTACATTAAAAGTGAGTTCTGATTTCTTTGCCTSTGACACATTTTCAATAATTGCCAGAAAATCTGCAGGCTTCCAAGGTTTGCTAGCACAATTGTGGCACTGAAAGCAAAGCTTGTGTATGAAAATGCATTCTGAGGAAAATATCTAACTTGTTTTCAATTCCATTGTTTGCATTTCACTCTGCCCTTGTTTGTCACATGTTTCATGCACTTAGGAAACAAAAACAATTTTCTAAAATTGAAAAAATGCATTTATTATTTGCATTTTCAATAAATATATTTAGTAGAGAGRTATGTGGGTAACTCTGGATCCTGGATTTTCCAAACAGCAGGGGCCCTGGAGACAACTTGTGCACAAACCAAAAAGCAGGATACATTAATAACTGGAAAACATGTTTAAATCTGATTTTACCTCTAAAAGTGCATATTTTTCAGAAATTTCAAAATGAGGAAAGGGATTTGGCTCCTACCTCTTCCAAAGCCCATAATGAATCAACCACAGGCTTGATCTTCTTACTGTTATATAGGTTTAGGAGTTTGTCCATCACACCCTTGACCAGGCCACCTCGATTCTGTTTGAAAAGGAGATTCAACAGGGAAAATCCAGCGATGACTTTGTTCTCCTCATACAGTTTGATAGGATTTACTTTCTCAACCTGCCACCACTGGAAACCAATAAACAACAGCATGGTTAGAAAAACATTTTTTTAAAAATGTATAGGGAAAGTTCACAAGCAAACTGTGTGTGCACATGTGATAAATGACTCATCTGCAGCTCTGCAGCAGGATTTGATTTAAGAACGAGGCAAGACATTGTGCAGCTGAGTGAAAAGCAGAAATAAAAACCAAACCCGTGCTGRAGCAGCTCAGGGTGTGAGAAGGATGGACAGATCTGGGTTTACAGGAGGCTCTGGCAGGGTGTAATTTGGATTTCTTTCTCCCTTCTGCCATCACAAGACTCCACTCCACTGCCCAGATGTTCCCAGGCAGCCCTTGGCCCTGRCTCTTCCCAAAACCAACAGAAGCAGGCACTGCTCAGCAGCTGCCAGCTCCTTTACATCCATTAGTATGTTTATGGCACTCGAGCAAACCTCACAGTATCTAATGAAAGGATTTTATTTCATYTGATTTTATTTCATTTAGCCCAAGAGCATCATCGAGAGTGAGAGATGCCACTTCCTTGTGAATTTTATTTGAATGGGTAAATTTTTAATTATAATTTTCATACAATTTTGATGAGTTAATTTTGCAGTGTAATTACATGAAAAAAAACTAGTTACACTTGTATACAAAACCTTGAATATTTTTTAATTAATCCAATTTATTCATATTTATTCTGTCCATAAATACCAATACTCTCTGAAAAACATTTCAGTTGGAATTTATTTCATTGGGCCAAACTTCCCTATAAATTTTGTGCATCTGGATATTCTTACATTGACAGTAAAAAGGCTGCAYAGCAAAGATTATCTTGTTTCAGTTCACAAACGTGTGACAATGACAARGATCCTCCCACTACAACCACTAACRAAATATGAGGCAAAGAACAGCTCCTTGCTACAGTCTCTGACTGATCTTATTTTCAACCTCACAGAAATTTTGAAGCCARTTCCTCCTGGGAAGGGGCTGTTTCTGGAAGCTGTAAATGAGCTTTTGGCAGAGAGATCATATGACAGATGTTCAGACAAGACTTTTCCCTGTGTTGTTCCTGTGTGAAGAAATCAATTTCACTCCTGGTTAACTTATTTCTTGCTGGCAGTTTATTTGATGTATTTGTCCCTTTTTTGATCTCTAGGATTTCTGCACAGATTTCTGTTGCTGTAGTAAGCTGAAGAGAAAAAAAAAATCTGAACTTTGAATCTGTTGACATCATCAATTAGGAAAAAAATGCCCAATCATAATCTCTTGGATGTCACTTGAGCACAGAGAAGTGAAAAATGCTTTTCTGAAGGAAATAAACTTCTGAAAAGCTGGAAATGACTGGACACAGGCCCCAACTTAAGAGATATATCTCATTTAATTCACTATCCTGACAGTGTCTTTGGATCCAAGGAAGCTGCAGATACAATTATTCATATCCATGGTGTGATATTCTGCCACAAGTAAATAAATAATACAGTCTAAAGCCAGCTGTGTAAGAGATGCATGTCTGACAGCCAATTTCAATTGCAATGTGAAATGCACACAGATCCAGGTCCTGTCTAGCTGTCCTGCCAGAGGAAAACATGGCACAAAAACACATCAGAGGCAACAACTCAGTGGAGATAAATGAAAATGATGAAGATGAAAATGCTACAGAAAAGACTGAAKTTAAGAGGAAAGAGCAGAACCACGGGGACACTTACTGATTTTGCAAAACTGAAGAAGCTTTTTGTCTCCCCAGTAACCATGTTAGATGAACCTGTAAAAGAGGAGCACATTCACAGATTATTATAACCTACAGCAGATCATTCACTATATGTAAAATCATCTCTGTGATTCATATTTAAGAAAAAAAAAATGCCCAGGTTTAAAAGAGATTAGTAGAAATACTTATACTTTCGGAGTAAATAATGAAGAAGCCACGGCAGCCAAGCCCTCCAGGCTCATAGGAATTCCAAGATGACACGGACAATCTATCAAATCTGATTTTTTTAAAGGTATTTTTTGTACTACCATTTGTTTCTCTATAACTTAGTCCCTGCTCAGCTTCACTAAAATCCTCRACTGGAAATGATCAAATTGAGAAAGGATAACATGTCAATCACCAATCCTGGAAGGAGTGACATGGATGATTTTAAGCCCTGCAAATCTTCTGGTTTAAAGTATGTACCTGCTCTTTTCCACTCACCATATAAAATGTAAGTCCCAAGTGGTTTGAGAAGACTGAGGCCTTTTCCAGTATTTTCTCCACAAAGGCAGTCCAAAACAATATCTACTCCATCTGTTGAGATTCTAAAAAGCAAGRGAAAAACTTTTAGTTTCCAGTAAGATACACAGGGCTGGTCAGGCTGATGCTTAACAAAATACTGACATTTTCCAGGGACTTCAGAAAGGACTCTAAAGCTGAGACTTTTACTGTGTGAAAACTTGACCCTCATCAAAAGACATTTCAGGCTCATTCAGTGGCACWGTGCAAGTTTTTTGGACTATCCAACCCACACCTCTTAGGCTTTAGAAAGGAGGAAACCATCTTGCTCCCCCTTTTTCAGGGCTTTCAGCAAAATTATATCATCAAAAGAGGCAACAGACACAAAGTCCTTTTTTGACTGAATGCAAATGTCAGAGAATTTTTTTTTGGTCAATGAATATTATACAGAAAAAATATATTTTTCTTATTCACATGTTATAAAATTAATTTTCTGAATTCTTAAGGAGATGGATCTTCTTATCCTAGTTCTTTGCAGGCAAAATGACTCTTCAAGTTATTTACAGAGTCTTCTTCAGACATCAACGAAATGTCAGCAAAGAGTTAAATCAAATATAAAGAGAAGTCACCAAGAGCTAGAAATCCAGCACAAGGGTTACAATAAGGCCACATTAAAGAAAACAGGAAGTATTTATACTGTTTCARTAAACAGTTTGCATATTTGAAAGTTTCCAACAACTCTGTCAATGCAATGTCAATATGATGCTGAAGAAGAAGAAAAAATAAAAATACACTGAATATCCTGATTTAGGGGAGAGGCAAAGATTTATGGCTTGCAATGCATCTTTCTGTTTCCTTGCAAAACAAAGGTGARACCCAGACATCCACGGGTTACAAACAGCAGCAAAACCAAGCAATTTCACTCCTCGGTGCTGCTGCCACACGTGGGGCAATAAATTGTTTCTATTCAGGCACTGGATGAACCTTCACTGTAAAGGAATAAAAATTTGACAGTGAAACAGCTTGTGGTGGCTTCCCTGCTTGAACCAATTCCTCACCCCCTATGAACACTGCCACACTCATAACACCTCTTATGGGATTTCTTGAATTTTTTTTTTTTTTTCATTTTCAATTCAGCAAACTGTTTATTTGGAGTTTTTGGCGGATGCTTTTGGTTTGTTCAGTTTTTTTTTTATTTTTTTTTTCCCTGATGAAAGCTTTTCCCTGGAAAGCCCCAGTCTCCTGCAATAAAGCAGGTTCCCACCATCATCCTTTCTCCATCACAGCTCCATCCTCTCCTGCTCAAAAACTTTTAAGAAATGAACTGCTCAAGCAGAACATAATACACAGCAAATATCCATCAAACCAARCCACCACACCAYTGCTCTCACTGCCTCTACTCGAGGRCAATTTGTCAGAAGAGSATTCTCAGAATTACTGYTGTATRTTCATTAAAAATCTTTTYAATGCAAAGTGAAGATGGAAGGATCTGAGCAACAAATCAGAGCACTGGCGTATTCCACAGGGTTCCACCTCTGTCCTGCCACCAGGATTAGYCACTGAGCTGATATTAAACATCTCTGGACTAGGAAAGAAGCAGAAATGAACTGGTTCCAGCCCTGTTTTATCTCCTGATTTCTCTTGCAATGCCAGCCTGCTTTGCTCTGCCCCGGGATCGACTCAGACAAACCGAGAAACAAAGAAYTGCAAAGCACAGCAACAGAAACACACGGGATGGCTTCAAAAGGCAACAGGATGATTGTAATCAGAATGCAAACAAACAAAATCTAAGGGTCTGGAATTAAAGCAGACATCGTGTGCTCTGATATCACCCCCTGGCAGGGGATAAAAACCCAGGCAGATAAAAGCACACCAGAGARCTCCAAAAGCTGGATACCTTACAAATCCACTGCAAATCTCTTATTTGGTGCATTCCAGTGAGCAAGTGCATATGCAAATYAAGGCACAGTACATCATTCTGTTAAGACCTTTAGTTTCTTTCACTTAATTTACTTTGCTCACACCAGATGCCCATGTAGGAACATGGACTGAAAAAGCTGAAGTTGCTTATCAATAAATAGGGAGATGCATGCTATCCTGTCCCTMGTGGACAGATGGAATAACTGGGAATAAACTACAGCTCCCCAAGTCACAATTGTCATCTCTTCCCAWAAACATGATCAGCCTGGTGCCTTTCACAGTATTTTGCCAGATACTTTACAGACCTTACTCAGGAAAATACAAGATTACCTTTTTACTTCTTGAACATAGTCTGCATTTCTGTCAAACAGGTGAGTTACCGAGTTTTTGATTGCTTCATGTTTGAAAGATGAAGCTGTTCCAAAAACAGTAACATTGGGAATGGTTGAACAGAGCTGAGCAACAGCTTGACCCTGCAAACACATTATTATGTTAGTTCACTGACATGGAAATCGSTTGACAGAATTTGCAGCTGCCAGTTCACTCATGACACAGCAAAACCCAGGACCAAACACGTGCAAGCGCTTCCCAAACTCGTTTATTTCCACTGAAATGCAGTTTAGCCACAGGAAAAAAGACACTTAAACCACAAGGATATTGAAGACAAAGCAGTCCTGATACACCAGGTGTAGCCTGCCATTCCCAAAGCACATCTCCCTATGGTTTCAGCAGGAGACAGCAAATTGCTACCACAATGCTGCATAACAAAGGAAATCTGGTTTATCTCTTTCTTATTGATAACAGTTATTACTGATCATTCAAACTCAGGAAGAGCCCCCAGTCACACCAACAGGTCAGCTCAGGCACGGCCCAGGCTCAAAACTCATAACAGCAAAGGGGATAAAGCAGCCTGGAGCACGTCCAGGAAAATCATTCTCACTCTTGGTCTGAACAGGAACCCAGGGGGGTCCATCAGATGCTGTTTCAGCCCTGAAGTAGGAACTGGAGCATTAAAGAATTTGTGCTATCAAATGCCTGTACTTTGAGTTTCCAGTTTTGGGTCCCAGACAGCTTTAACTGAATTTTAACCTCTAATTTCATGAGACTGAGAGAAGGGAAGCACTACTAAACAGATGAGCCAACTAGATTTCAAAAAAACACTCCATCAGGTCATCTTTCTACCACCTCAGGTTTTGTTTTAAGACACTAACAAAGGAAAACAGACTTCTGGTAGCCCCACCCCACCTTTTCTTGCAGCCACATTATTCCACTGGAGCCAGCACAGCTACATGGATATACCCAGAAGTTAAAAAAAAAAAAAATGGCACTGTCTTTCAAAAAAAATTGTCAGATTGAATTCAGCAGACTCTTATTTACATCTGCAGCTTATAGATTGTCATCTGTGAACTGCACGCATGAGTAGCAAAATCACCRGTGGATAAACACATTTCTGTTCACTCCACCCCAACCTCTGACTATTAGYTGTGCATCCCAGTAATTAGCACTCGGGTTTTATTCAGAGCAGGATAATTAGCTAACCCTGCATACCCTGGGGGTCTTGGCATCCTCCTGTWTTCTGCTGAATGGAACTCCAAGCTGAGCATCAGCAGAGAGGRCAAGGCTGGTGTTTATAGATGGGGGCACAAAGGGATTCCAGGCTGGTTTCCTGCTGGGTGGGTCAGTAAATGCCTGCACGGCTTTGGTGATCCTCAGACAGGCAAAGAGACACAGAAAGGAGAGCAAGAGAAGGGAYCAGTCTCATCTGGGCCTTATCTCACTAGATGTAATGTTTTCAGGGGGTAGAAAATGTTTAAGTCTTCTCATGCTTCATTTCTCTCTTATTTACCATCTCATTCTAAACCCCAGATTTTAGCSTCCAAAAATAATGTAATACAAAATCACAAAAAAAAAGAAAAAAAAACGGGGATTTTGTATCTGTTCTTTTCTTGGTAATTTTCACAAGCAATATCTTCTTTTCTCACTTTCTGTGTCTCGCAGAAACCCAACACCCACAGTGATTTAGATAAATCGGTATTTTATAATGCATGGTAGCTGAATGCAATKCTGACATTATTGATCTATTCTCTAATTAGTTTTCTGCATTTTCAGTCTAACTTGGGAAGATGAGGGATAATGAATATATCCTGAATCAAACCACTGCATGTTTAAAAGGTCAAACATTCAAGAAGAAAGCGTGTTGATTTTTATCYTGCAGAAGACGATTAACATTTAACAAACTGACAGTCAGATGAATAGCAGAAATGCACGAAAACATCAGGATGTGAATAACCTATTTTCCTCCTGACTCAAACTCGTTAGYACACCTCTCCCTCCCCCCAGAGATAAGCTTATCTAAAATCCCAGATCAGCTGGGAATACTTTTCAGCTTTCTGTAGATGTTTGAAGCCTAAAACTGACTCATATGACCAGTACTTTTATAATTGGATAAAGTATTCTGAAGCAATTCTGTAAAACACCCTTCTATGGTTTTCTGAAATCTGAATTTCAAGTTGACTCTTTCTCATTTTTGTGCAGAGTATTTTTAATAGCTGTATCAGAAATGTAAGAATAAAGGCTGATATTGGACTTTTCACACTTTCCCCACCTAAAGAGGAGAACTGAACTCAACCTGTGAACTCAACCATTTCCCTAATTTCTGTGGAATTCAGCTAAGCTCCAGAACAGCACCGTGGCTGTGCAAGTCACTCCTAAGTCTCCCATCTAATCCCTGTGGATTAGTCCCAGTGTTGGGAGGGCTCCACATTTCAGCTGCAGTACAGGAGCCCCGGTGCTCAGCACACTCAGCTCACAAATGGAGCATCCACAGAGATTTTGCTGTGCAGGGAGGAGCAGCCTCCTCCTCCCCGGGCAGGTGAGGTGTCCACAATGCTCCTGTGCCCCTGCACGCTCCCACCAYGGGCACACAGCCCTGTCCTGGTGCTTGGATCCCAAAAACTGCTCTGGGGTAAACAGGGACGAGAGGGTTTTCTGTCTGCTCCCCACCAGGCAAAACCACATCAACTCTGCTCCCAGCCTTCACTGGCCTTGGAAGCAGGAATTATCAGAAATAGTGTGTGAACTCTGAAACCTCCCAGGAGGGTGCTGAATTACACAAGCATGAGTTGAAAAATGTTCCTCACACATTTAATTTTTCATATAMAGTGACAATTTCTGCATGAAAGCACTGACCAGGTTCTTGCTTTCTGAACCTAGGAAAACTCGTAAGTTCTAATGGCAAAAAATAATTATCACTTGCACTTTAAATTTTACATTTAATGGAATTTAGCAGACTTTGGGAAAAGAAAAAAAAAACAGGCAATCTATTGAAGGAATAGACATGGTTACAAAATACTCCTTAAAGCAGAGTTAATCTCCCTTAAAATATTCATACATTTTACACACTACTTATTATTACTTATCACAGAATCAGAGTCTTTATGGTTGGAAAAGCCTCTAAGACCATCAAGTCCAGCCACAAACTCAGTAYMACCATGTTTATCAYTAAATCACACCCTCAGGTKCCATATCCACACATTTTTCTGAACACTTCCAGTGATGCAGAACCTCATGTGGTGAATTCACAAAGTAATTAATAGCTTGGATTAAATATCTTAAAGAAATTAATAACTTTAATTAAATAGATTAAAGAAATGAATAGCTTGTGGAATGGATCGCATCTGCAAATGCTGGATGTGCCTCTCCAGCTTCACAGTCTGCTTGATGGATTCCTTTTCCAGGAGATAYCCTGTCAATTTTTAAAACCCATATGTTGAATCTAATCTGCACATAGGATTATGACAGAAATTAAAATCCTTAAATTATATCCTTACAGATACATTTATATCCTTACAGTTGTTTTAGATCCAGAAAAGAAACCCTGAGATTTCTTCACATTCCATGGCTTTAAAACCCAAGTCTACACCTGCAGGACTGGAAACTTCTCATACTGAGACAATCACATAAAAGAAGGGAAAAGCAGTTTTCTGGGAAGTAAAAATGAAATAGACTGTTCTGTGAATTTCAACAATTTCAAAGAAAAAAAAAGTCATTGATATTTAAAAGTCAATATAGAAAGCATGAATGGMACAAAATTCACTAACCTAATTAATCTAATTAGCTCGTTAACACAAACTTTATGCTGGACGAAATATAAATAAGGTGTACAAGTGAATGGCTTTCCAAAAGGGTCTGACCTGATGCCACCAGCCTGATGTGCCAGCAGCACACTGAATTACAGCAGGGATGGGGCAGAATCCTTCCAAGAAAGCATCTTTTTTGCTATTACATGAACTGGGGCCAGCGTGATAGCTGGAGAGAATAAAGCATGTAAAGGATACCACCCTGCAACACCACATCAGTAAAGAATTACCATTTCTATGATATATTTCTTCCGCCCAAAGGTGCTACAGCATTTTTAAAAATAGCTTCCAGACTTAATCTTGCACAAGAAACTCGTCTAGAAGTGAACGTGAGAAGAATCCAAATTCCAAAATGCTTTGATTCCACATCACCATACCTGAAGGTGGTGTGAAGTACTCAAACACAMAAAGAAAACTGCAAGGGGAATCATCTACTGATCTTGTGGCATCAGGAAAGCTCTTCTCTGGTGTTAGGTGAAGTCTGATACACAACATTTCATCTCCTGATGGTGTCATTTTCCCAATTACAGCAAAGGAAATTGGAAACCAAACACCCGGGTGAACATTGCAGAGTGGACAAACTAAAATGTGTTTATTGGACAAGCACAAGGCAGCATCTGCTACACTCAGTGCACCACAAATGAGATTTGGAGTGCAGGGAGGGAAAAGTGACCCTGAGATAACGATCTCTTTCACCCTCAAAACATTTTCTGCAACAACTAGCAGGGGRTGTTCTTCTTACCCCTTTGCCAAATGGTGCAGAAGCTCAGGGCTGGATCTCCATGAGGCACAAGCCCTGTGCAGTTGGGTGGAGCTGTGACAGTGGCCCCGGGCACAGCTCCTGCAGGGGATGCAAACTCCCCCTGGAAAGGAGAACAGCCCCAGAGCTGAGCTCTGCTGTGACCCAGCTCTGCAGTGACTTGGGGACAGGACATTCCTCTGCGGAGAGCAGGGCTGGGAGGGGCACAGAGAGACACCTTCAAAGGCTGCAGCTTGCTTTGCTCAGGGMAATTGGGCTGGAATTGGAAATTGCAAATTGGACCGCAGCTTTCTGTGTGTAGCTGGCTGGGCTTTGTGTCTGATGAGCAGATGATGCTCTGAGCAGTGCCTGGAAATGGGCACCAGGGCTGTCCAGCACTGCCCAGACAGCCCAGAGAGCCCAGCCTGGCATGAGCACACTGCCCAGACAGCCCAGAGAGCCCAGCCTGGCATGAGCACACTGCCCAGAGAGCCCAGACTCAGTCACACACTGTGTTTGAGCTGATTTATCCCCTTCCTTGGCTGCTGCAGGTGGAACGAGAGGGAAGCCCTTCCTCAAACTCGGAGCAGCCTGGAGCTGCTCACACCAACAGCAAATGCAGCCCTGGTACCGGTGAAGGTGTCAGCAGAGCAGGATTAATGCCACAGCCAGGACCAGCACAAGGAAGAGTCAATTCTAATTAYTCACATCCAAGGAGCTCTGAGTTAAAACTCTTTAATGTGCTCCTCCCTGCTAAGTGCAGGCAGAGCAGCCTGCCCATGCAATATTGAAAAGGATCAGAAATGYTGTGAGACCTATTTTAACAGGATCTGCCTTTCTTACTGCTCCATCCTGTGCTCCCAGCAAAAACATCCACMGCTGCCTGCAGCAGGACCTGCCTGGAGGATGGCCCAGGAAACACACACCTAACCCTACAAAAACAGGGTGTGAGCAAACAAACCTGCTTTCAGCTGAAAAACACAGCCTGAGGAGAGACTTCATCCTGAGCTGGTTGTAGCCATAAACACACACATATCCTACCAAAARAGATGTGAAAGAAGTGCCCCAAGGGGAAAGAGGAGCCAATTTTAATTAATGGACAACATCAGTAGAGGAACAAAGATCCAGACTTTATTCACGGCCAGTTAATGTAAAATTTTCACTGAGCAAAACAGTGGAGAGATTCTGAATRGATAAACACATAGGTATGTTTTCAAGAAGAAATTAGATCATTCTCTTGAAAGGGTTCCTATATGTTGTCTGTGATAGAGGGTGACTGGATTTCCTAAGAAATGCCAGTTCTTTTGTCAGAGAAAATRTCACCACTTCAGTGATTCAGTTGGGAAACACTTCCTCAAATATTTGCAATGTATGCAGGGGAGACACAATAAAAAAGAGGGTTCCTGCCAAGCAGTAACAGATCCTGCCAGGATGGCCTCAATCTGTTGCCAAGTCAGATTTACCCTTCAAATTCAAACAGGAGAGCTGCATCTGTAACTTCCTCTGCTTGCACTTCCTGTGCTGCTGAGCCTGAAAGGGAAGGTCAGACAACAACTTCAGGAGGAGCAATCAATGCTCCTGGCATGGAAGGCAGCTTATTTTTAGCATCTGCAAGATCAAAATGCTAAAGAACTGGCTTATAGCTCTGCCTTGAGTKTGAGGGGTAAGTGATGAGACTGGTGTTTACAAAAACTTGGTGAATAACCAAAGCTTTGAGCTCAAAATATTCAGAATAAGAAGCACACGAAGAATAAAGGATGTCCTGACCTCTCCAGGGTGTGGGGGGCAGGGAAGGCACTCATCTGGTTCATGGAGCATGATTCCAGTCTTTAGCACAGACAGGTGACTGAGACTTTTTTCAAGGCTAGTTATCTTGGTACATTTGCCTTTTCTCTCCCTAATCTTCTGATGTCCCCTGGAACTTCTGGAATAAACAAAGTGACTTATCTGAGGCATCCTGTCAGACATTAAAGGGACTGTTCCCTACTAATCACACTCCAGGCACAGATGAGAAGACAATTGCTATAGTTACCTCACTACCAAAAATATCCATCAACAAAAAGAAGGCCACACAAATAAACTGAGAGTAAAGAGAGTTTTCCCTGGCTCCATTTATTGGAAAAGCTGCAGGATCCTCCTAAAGGGGCCTGAGTAGCCAGAACAAAGAACCTCACAAACATTTTTGAAGCAACAAGTTCTTTTTCATAAACTGCCTGAAGCAGCTAAAATAATGATCTTGCATAATGAGAAATGAACAATTAGAAACTTCTAGTCCCACAGGGAGCCTATTGTCTCATTAAAGTGTTCTGGAATTTCTCTGACATTTAGAAACAAACTGGACAGATTTCCCACTTGCTGAAATTGGGGAAGGGCATTCTATCTACTAAAGCAACAGCACAAAAAATAACTCTTCCTACAGCAGCTTCAGTGCCAGTTTTCTGTTCATTAACAAAGATCTTTGTGAGAATGATTTGTTCGATTGAAGCTGTCAGATTTTTCAAAGGATTAACAGACATATTATTAGAGTAAGTAACACAGACCCCTCTGAAATCTTTGATGTCTGCTTAGCAGAAAGAAAAAAAAAAATAAAGCCAGAGTGATATTTTATCTGTAAAACCTATCAAGCAATGGGAGAACTCGCTCCAATTCTTGCTTTACATTCTTGATATCCATCCTATACATTCTTGATATACATTCTATACATTCTTGATATACAAGATCATTGCAGGGTGGCCATACTCTACAGTCCCCCCTGGATCCTGCACAGCCCTTCAGCACTTTCTGGCCAGCCTGGCTGCTCTCCTGCATGTCTGGTCTCTCCCTTGGAAACTCTGTTTTATTTTACGACTTAGCAAGGGATGGATCTGATTTCTCCTCACTCTCCTGGCAGCCGAGCAGGATCCATCTTTCCTTTAGCTTTTCTCAGAGAAGGTTCTGAGCAGCCACAGCAGAGRAGCAGCCAAAAGCTGCCCACTGAACAGCTGGGATGGGAGGGGAAGCCACAGCTCCTTCCAGGAACAGCCCAGCACAGAGGCTGGGCACTGGAGCAGCAGACTGTGAGAGAACCAACATTCACAGAGCATCAACAGAGAAACCACAGAGACRAGGTCAGAAAGAGAAGGAAACACAGAAATCTGGAAAAGGAGAATGATTTAATTTTCTCCAGAGGCACAGGTATCTGTGTAGGGATTGCTTTGGGCTGATCCTATATGCTCAGCCTACACAGGGCCTGTTCAGTGCCAGGTGGGCAAATGGCCTCAAAGGTACAGCTGAAACTTTGATTCCTGTAGAATATTCCCCCTCATTTTGCTTTAAGAGCTCTGAATTCCACCCGAAGAGATTTAACACTACAGGACAATAGTCAGCCATAACACTGTGGGCTGCACTGTGCCAAAGCATAATAMGATTATAAATTCCCTTCATTTACACGAGTATTCCAACAGGACCCTCTGCTGCCAGCAGGATTATTGTTGGCTAAAAATACCTTGTACAGGGAGCTCATGAATTTATTCCTTTGATTACAGCCTTCATTTACATGACAACCTGAAAGAAGGTCTAAGGGCACAGAATTAAGAACGGTGTTTGGGGCTGCCTATCAGACCTCAGCAGAAAACAGAACATTAATTTAGCATAAATAAGGCATAACAAGAACACAGAAGAGCTACTCTGGTTTCAAAGGCTGGTATCTGCTAATGGTCTCAGCTGGTAAAATCTACCCTATGAAACAGGACTGCATAATTTCAAATGTAAACAAACTCCCCTGYCAATATCTTCATATTTTGCACAAAACTTTAATATTTTCCAAAGGAGARAGATTTTCCTAAAAGATACGCAAAGGAACTGGTAACAAAATGCCAACTTTTTATTTCACTGTGTGGCCTGGTATTCCCACAAACTCATCCTTTGCCTGTGCCACACAATTTCTCCTCAGGAATGACCCAAACTATAACAGCAGCAGCTGCCACTGGCTACAGTTCAGAATTTCTACCTTTTTCTCAAGGTTCACATGAGAACTTTTCACTGCTTTCAATCCCTCTACAACAAAGGTGAAAAAAAACCTTTCACAAGAACAGTGAAAGCATCACACACACTCCCACTTTATGTATGCAGGAATATTCCAAGAGGGACACATACTGCAAGGAGGATTATGGTTACCTACAAATACCCAGTGCAGGGAGCTTATTATTACTTTCTTTGACACAAAAGTACATGTGTAAGTTCAGAAATGCAATATTTGGGACAACACGTGATGCTTGATCTGCTGACAACCAATTAGGTTTTTTTTCCATGGGGTTTTTGGGTAGAGTTYATTGTTACAACGTTTTTATTTCACCAAGAGCTCCTGCCAACCATTCACATCAGCATTTTGATGGGAAAACAGATGCAGCTCCTCCCAGTGCAATCCCTCACACACAGGGATATCAAATCAAACTGGCTCTGGCTCATTTTGGGAATCAAGACACATCAGCCTCCTTCAATTACCCAGTGACAGAAAAGCAAGAAAGGTTCAGACTTACCACCCCACCTCCTGCCGAGTGAACCAGCACAGACATGCCTTCTCTCAGGTTGGCAACCTCAAACAGCATCATGTAGGCAGTTACAAAGTTCATGGGAAATGCAGCAGCTTCAGAAAAGCTCATGTCATCAGGGATCTTGTAGACAAACTCCAGCGGGGTGCACACCACCTCAGCCCAGGCATTGTAGTTCACAAAGGCCATGACTCTGTCCCCAATCTGCAAACGAGGAGGAAAAAACAAGAAAACAGCTGAGATGGTGGAGAGCAGCTTGAAGGAGCTGCAAGTCTCCTGCTCACRGTGTGGGTCACTGGCTGGCTGTGAGGAACGTGGTGCTCCACAGCTTCAGCTGCTCAGCTTTGGGCTTTTACCATTTTTAATGTAGCCAAAATAACCAAAAGAAGTTAAAGCCACCTCTTCCACCTCTTTTTTTTCYTTCCTACCCTCTTTTCTGATAGAGCAGTCTTTTGTCCTCACTAATAAAGATCATCTTTTGCTAGCAGAGCTCCCAAATAACCAGTGTAAACAATGAATGCATCATTCTTACTAATAACCAGGAATTTTGCTATAAATGACAGAAAAAGGTTATAATTATATTGATGAGAGGCATGGAATAAAGAAAATTATACCTAGGATAATTTTCACATTGCTTTCTCAGTCCTCAGGCTAATTTAGAGCTACTTTTCCTCTCTGTGGRTTGAGAAGGGGAGGCCTTGTGCTCTGGGAGATGGAGCTCATGAAAGGTTCCAAAAGCTCTCACTCAGAAGATAGCACCATCTGTACCCACTCTCTATTTTTATTATCTTATTAACTGACTCTACCCAGACATATCCACGACTGTAATCTCCACAGCCACRTGTCAGAGCAGAATTTGATTCTGCAGCTTCAAATAAGACCCTTAAACATCAAAAATGTACCTCTGGATTTTAAGGCACTGTCAAATTACATGAGCCAATTTGACAGGATTTAAAGGAGCAATGAAATATGATCTTTCAATGCAACATTTCTCTACTCAGTTTCTTCTGAAAATATATGGTAGTGGAAGAGTAATTCACTATGGAGAAATAAAAGCTTTCTGTAAATATTAGATCTAGTTGGCTGTTCCTAGGAGTCTTTCAGAGGTCCAGACAAATCAAGTTCATGTGCTTGCATATGACCTTAATTGCAGCTTGAGGTTTTKAAATCAGAGATACTGACTCTCCTCAGATGGACGAGAGTAACAACTAGGTACAACCACATTTGAAAAGCAACATTCACCTTAAAGCAGAAATTGGGGCTGCTGGAGCTGTGAGGGAGAGCCACACTGAGCAAATGTTTGGCCAGGGTGTATATATATATATGTAAATATTTACAGGCACAACTATTAAAAACTCCCAGAAATTGCTTGTCACCAGCAACCCCATGGCATTTTTTAGCTTGCCTTTAGACCCTCTGCCTTTCTAGAATACCCCAGCAAACCCAGCATCCTTAACCATGAAAGAAGCTCTGCAATGGGCCACAGTGTAAGACAGGAAYAGTATCAAAGCCCAGCCCTTCGTGTTTTAACTAAAACTAACAGCAGCTGCCCCTCTAAAATAACTCCTCTTATCTGCCTGATGCTCTCTTACATTCTGCTAACAACTCTAATGCTTCAGAAACMCTGCAGGTAAGGAGTAAAGCACAACACTTTTGCCTTCAGGCCAGTGTTTACAGCACAAGCACATTTTGGTCTCCTGAGTGCCTGTCATCACTTTGGCTTTGGGACATTGCAGGTTTGCTCAAAGCCAAGGTGCTGCTGACAGCTCTGAAGGGTTTGTCTCTTTGAGAATGAGAATGCTGAAACAGAGCTGTCATTCCAATTTCACTGAAATGCYTCCTCCTTTTGAAAAACCTTCAAATTAACAATGCCTCACTGGTAATCACTCTGTGGTTCCCTTTTGCTCTTAGAGAAGCATCTAAAATAGAATGTCTGCTAGGATTAATTAGTGCAGATGTTAATATGCCCTATATCCTTGCCACAAATCGTAAGTGATTACCAAAAAGAATGCAGAGAAGCCTCTCTTGGTGATTCCCAAGGGATTTCTTGGTAACAGCAAATACCACATTTGACCACAGACACTATTCAGAGCCTGGTCATTATGCCAGCTTAGACCTCACTTCCTGAGAATCATCCCAGAACTGGAGAGGGATCAGGCCTGATACAGCTGTGCTCATCAGAAATCAGTTGTTTCTTTTAGTGGGAGAAGGAACAGGCATTACACCTACGTTAAGAGGACATGCACTGGAAGAGGGGTACACAGCAAAGAAGGTCAGGAAACACAGGGTGAAATCTTTGCCACTGCTGTGGACAGAGGCAACAACGTTTGCCAAGGAGACACCAAGCATTTGGTGTGCTCCCATTCTGTGCAAGAATCCCATAAAGAAACCAACAGAACCTTCTCCCACCATCCTCACAGCACTCTCCTGCTGATGGATTCATACCCTGCACAGCTGCTCCTCTGAGCATGGACCCTTTTCAGATCACTCAAACACCACCATGGCTGTGCAGATGAGATGGAAAAATAAAATACTACARCTTGCTTCAATTACAGGGAGCACACCAGTGCACAAACAYGCTCCACAGTCAGAACAAAGATGTCACTTTAAAAAGAGACACAGTACATTCAGTCAGGTGCAGTGTTATTCAAACAAGCACCATATGCTGTAGCCTCATAATGCCCTTTAAAAATAGCAAGAACTTTACAAATGAGAGTGCTGATCTGGAGCAGAGGCTTTCTCTACTCTTTTCACAGAATATTCTTCGATATAGAGCACTGCTATGAAGTACAAATWTTAAAACAGAACTACTGAAGCAGCAAAGGTTTTCAAACAGCAAAAGTATCATTCAGTTATTGTTTGTAACAGAATATATTGAAGGATTATGGCTTGTTTCAAGGCAGAGATGGGTCAGGGAGGGAACGGAGAGAAATCCCCTAAGAAGATCTCATCACTGAAATCCTRGTTGCAACTAAACTGGCCATTATCTTCATTCAATTGCCAAATTTTAGCTTTTCCAGAAGAGACAAATSTTATCCTTAAATAAAAATATTTACATTTATTTGTATCTTCTTAAGATCCAGATATAATAAGAATTCAGAAAATTTGATTACTTTTTGACATGACTGACTCTGCAAATAACTAAGATGGGATTGACATGCATTAATTCAGGATTTATTTCCAAAATTTTCAACCTACTTAGGCAGTAAAATGCAACTTTGTAGTGAATATAGACGTTTAATATCAATAATGGAATAAGAGGGAGAATTATATGCAATATATATATGCAATAAGAGACACCAAAGAGTCCATAACCGCTTATGAAAGCTTTATTGTATACATTGACTATTTGTCATTTATCACACTCTGYTATGTGAAATAGATGCTTTTCAGACTAAGTCCTGTATCCAGAATCTGGGTCCCAATTTAATCTGCACCTCRTTGATGCCCACAGTTAMACAGGGCTCCTGTTAACTCGAGATCAAAAGCTGGAATATGAATCAGCAGCACCTGGGCTTTGAGGGAAAGAGCAGTGATGACAGCAAACAGGGTCAAGAAAAGAAACTTAACTTAATTTCTTTCATTTTATTAAAGGACATCAGTCATGCTTCCAGYTCCTGTTTAGCCATCAGGATGTGCACATGGCACAAGTGACTTTTCAGGAAAGATTTGAAGGAGATGACAGTGGTGGATGCAGAAACTAATTCAAGGGGTCATTCTCACGCTTGGGAAGCAGCAAGGAAAAATTGACCTTTTAAATCTCAACAGGGTGGTGAAGGCTGCTGTCAGTGGCAGAGCAGAAGGGATTAGGGAAGTGGTGATTATTTAAATGAAACTTACAACTTGCACTTTGAAAATAAAAAAAATTATTACCTCAAATCCTTTGACGCTGTCTCCAAGAGCTTCTACAATTCCAGAACATTCAAACCCAGGAACAAGGGGTGTCTTAGGAGGGTTGTCGATATTCCCCTGTCGCACCATCAAATCAATGAAGTTCAAACCACTGTAAAACACAGGAAAAAAAAAATAAATCAAGACTATTACCACAGATCAAAGCAGAGGAGGAAAACTTGACCCGAGTGATGGGATGGCCAGAAAACTGCAGGGCAGCATGAAAGAGCTGGGCTCTGCAGGATGGAAGGGATCCAGCAGACATTGCCACTCTTGGGATGCTGTGCCTTGGGCAGAGGCTGCACGGGCCAGGCAGACACAGCTGCTCTGCACTCACAGGGCATTGCAAAACTCCGTTCAGTCAAACCTTATCATTTCTACCAATGCATCACTAGGTCAATTCCAGGTCAATTTAGGAAGAAAACCCCAAGCCTCACACATTAGAGGTATTTTGGGCTAGGAGCTACATGATCTAACTGTCCTAAGCTTTGATGTGACTCCAGGAATGCATCTTGTGTTTGTCTCAGGCAGGAATCCAAACTCTGATATAAACTYACTAAGTMCCAGATAGGCTCTTGTTTTAAAACTGTTCCTTCCTGGATCATGTTTGTACATTTTTGCAAAAGTTATTTAGGTCTTTGAAGTCCTCAGGTTTGCTGCTCAGAAAAAAAAAAAAAATACAAGTCTTTCCCTGTGGTCTCAGCTTTGAAAAAAATGCTAAAGCATCTTTGCATTGTCTTCTCCATGCTATCCAGTTTTATTAAGGAAAATGTTGTGGTTTTCTAGGCAGCCACAAAAAAAAAAAAAAAAAAAAAAAAAAAAAAAAAAAAAAAAACCAAAAAAAAAAAGGCACCACTTATCTACCATGACCATATATTGATTACTGGCCTTAATGCCACAGTTAATACTTTAAAGCTCCTAACTAGCTAAAATACACTTCAGCATTTTAATCCACAGTTCCAAAACACAGCCCTGTTTTAATGGTTAGCCAAAAACACACGTGACAGCAGCAACTGCTCGGGTACGTCACAGTRCTGATGTGCACACAGAGTTMTGGGATGGAGCCTCASATTCTGATCGAGACACAGACAGGCTCAACAGACCCAACAAATGAAAAGCCAGAGCAGACACASAGCCCTARCATGGAGACAACACAGCATTCACGGGATGTAGGTCACTGGGGAGGGGGAAGGAAATCCCCCCAAATGGGAGCATTCATAATCGTGGTGGGGGGTTTAAGAGCAACCTGAACCCAACTTTCACCATGCTCATACACAAAACTTATATTATCAACCACACGGAAGGTTAGGAGGGGTTTTCATATAGTTAAGTTGGAAAGTTTGAAAGTATTTTGGAAAGGTAACTTCTTATCAAGTGGCTAAGACCCTCTCCTACATTGCYATTGTAATGTCACAATGAAAGAGAAATTTCAAACAGCAAAATTCCTCCAAGGCAGTCACTGTTTGGTTAAGAGAAACAAAGAGCCAAAAAACCCCAAAACACTACAAACCCAGAAACCCTACAGCTCTGATGGTGGCAACCACTGTTTGTGTACATTAACTGCAGAAACAGCCTTTTGAATACATCTTTCCACACTGAGAGCATTTTACAAAAAGTTAACTTTTCCCTACATTCCTGCAAGGAAAGGCAGCKGGAGGCAGGACTGTGATGCAGGAACCTGGGCAGGAACACCCATTGGGATGTCATAAAAAGCAGGCAAGAAGGAGACAGGTGGATTTGCAAAGGCCACAGCTCTTTGCTAATGACACATGATCACAAATAGATTCCTTCYCATGAAATGACTTGTCAGAGAGCTTTTGAAAAGGCACAYRATCAGTTCTRCATCCAGTGACATAAYACTGGCAGGTCAGTTCTGYCCTASTTCMATTGCTTTTTCATCTGTTTGATCCCCAATAAAGGCCAGTAAAATTATATTGAGACTTCATCTCTATTGCAATGAACTTACAAGAGTTCACACYAGAACAGGTGTGATAAGKAAAGAAAAAACACTACACAAGRTAYATAYGTGYTCTTATCATTTTAATTACTACTTGAAACATGGAGTGTTGACCAGGCTTTCTAATAATTTCTAGCCACTTTACACAGAGTTTCTTCTTCATTCACTTGATCTTTTATTTCTTATATTCCTATATGTTGTCACATCCCTGGTACTTGCATACATGTATTTATTCCTGTTCTTCACTTTCAATGAAGGATAGAAGTTTTATTTCACCTGAGAAATTTGAACACCAGTAGATCTGAAAGCATGATTTTGCTGTATTRGTCAACTCAGMCAYTTTTATTTTTYCCTCAGCATAACCTGGAGGGCCTAAAGATGGATGGCTGGTTTTGTWACCACATCCAGGACACCCAGAGATTTCACTGAGATTCAACCAACAGCAGACTCAGGAAATGTGTGGCTGCACAGAACAACACAAGAAAATACATCTCATGAAGACTGGTGGTTTTAGAGATTAAGCATAATTTATTTCTCATACCAGATCAAATCAGCACAGGCTGTTGTGGAGTGCAGCCAGAGAACGTGACTCCTGAACTTTAGGTAAGGGCATATGCAGAGKGAAAGTGTAAATGCAAAGCAATCTGGTGACAAAAAGCACAGTGTGTTTGTCATCCTAAATCAAGAACTGGATGCCARTGAAGACAGGGAAGGATRTGAATTACCAAGATCAATACATTGACAGAGGGGTTCTGCAAGAACCTGCCTGTGACAGAGCAGGGATGTCTCTGTGATCTGCTCAGA